GGATTAATGGCCATCAACTTGAAGAAGTAGACAGCTTTAAGTACCTCGGGGCCAGGCTGCCACCTAATGGGGAGAGCAAGGATGACATTGTATCCCGTATCGGTGCTGCTCGCTGGGTTTTCTCAATACTTCGAAGGCGCCTATTGATCCGGCGTGACATCTCCATCGCCAAAAAGATTTGTATATACCGTGCATCCATCCGGTCAATTATTCTCTATCGATGTGAATGCTGGGCTGTGTGCGCTGAAGATGAGCGAAGACTGGAGGTCTTCGACCACAGGTGCCTGAGGACGATCCTGCGAGTTAAGTATAACGAATTCATGTCCAATGAGACGCTCCACACCCGCTGCGATCATATCACGAGGATATCTCAGACCATTCAAGAAAGGCGACTGAGATAATTTGGACACGTTCTCCGTCGTCCGCCCCACGAGCTTAGTATGCTGCCCTCGGACCGGCGCCGCAGTCCACCTGGAAACGTCGAAGAGCAGGGCAACTGAAGACTTGGCTCGGCACCGTCCGTCAAGACATGAAAGCAGTTCTTGGACGTTCTATATTCGGTCTCCATCGCTGAAGAAGAGACTGGGTGGAGCTTTCCTGATCCGCTGCCGCCAGTCGTCACGCATGGAGAGGTACCGTTCGTGACATCATTGAGGCCGGCTAGATCAGGCATGATCACGGCCGTAAAAAAAGCAAAAAGTACAAAAATGTCCCACATTGGCAGAAAATGGACGAAACACACCTGGCTGGGCGTTTACTCAGTACCTGTGCTGCCAGTATGTGGATCCTGCATAATTGCAGTGGACCAAAAACTCAAGCGATACTAAAGCGTTAGAAGAACCTAATAAAAGCGACTGTTTATACAGCCTAACTTATTTATGAATGTTTGCGCGGCACAAGTTATAGATTAGCCTTATCTGCAACTTCACCTTGTCGGTCTGGCTTGCTGAAGAAAACTAGTAAGGCAGTCCCAGCAGTATTGAAGCGTTAATTTTCCTACCTATAGGCAACCGAACACGTTTTTTACATATAATGACACACAAGGGATCATCCTTTGCTGACAGCCATTCACCATTAAAGTCCCTCGTCCACGAAAAAACCGTCCTATTCGGACGGTGGCACCATAATGACTGAACCATCCGAGGATACTTTTAGTTGTCCATCTAGATGTGCCAATATTGTATTCCAAAAACTTCCTCAAATGACCACAAAAAGTCGACAGAAAGGACCGCTGAGATACAGAATGTAATGCGGCAAGTAAATGATATCGCTTAATCTGCCTGTTTGCCTTCAAAAGATACAGTTCTAACCAGGAGAAAGCACGATTCTGAATCATGTTCAGTAGCCGAAAGGACTGGAAATTGTCAAATACATTGAGGCGATGTTACTGGCAAGCGGACAGAATAAGGGCTATATTGTTACATGAAAATGTCTCGGGTAGATTGCTTTCGCGGGCCTTATGAGGTATTTATCGATCCATCACGATTTCTTAATCGTCGCAAAAACACGGGTGAACCGGGCATTCGTCCACTACGATTGTGAACATGTGACAGTGCATAAACTATGAGAGAAAACTTGAGGTTCTGACGACAGCTCAAGAGAAGTTTCCTGGCTTTACCAGGAATGAGCCAGCAAACAATAATTTTAAAAACATCTTTGAGTCACCTAAGGATATCAAAAAAAGAAGGCTGCAGTCGTTTGAAGGCGTTTTTAAGGTGTTTCTATCTACATCCTAGCTGTCTATCTGAGAAAAACTATGCATTTAGATTAAACTCTATCCCGACAGAATGGCTCAAGACTCAGACGAGGTTCCAGGGTCTTCCGTCTTTTCCAAAGTTTTGGTTGCTGGTCATCACGCTACGACACAAATAACAGCATATACTCATAGAATGCGTATTTACAAAATGTCTGACATAATCTCCCGGATGGGAAAGGTGTGAGATGTATCAAAAATATAAAATGATCACGCAACAGTAGTCTGGGCAAGCCAGAATGGACTTCGAAGGGGTGACTACGTTCTCCGAGATAAAACTGTTAGGGATATAAAAGTTAGTTTATCACGACAATGCACAAAGAAAAATGCTGTAAAATGGGGAGCCTACTTTGCTGACGAAAGCCTTGGCGCTGTCCTTAGTTCGGTTTGTAGGACTAACATAAACCTTCGCGTTGAGCGGTAGGCGAAAATCCCGAGGAAGTCTCCTGCGCAAACGAAGTCCTAGCTTTTCCAATTCCTGTACACCAGCCGGCAGTAGTTCCATTGGTCCCGATCCGCGGCAGTTGAACGTGAAGTTAAAATCAGATAATTCTTTGCTGCAAAAAGACAGAAAACAGTCGCGCATACCATAATCCGACTTTAAAGAAGCCTGCAGATTTTCAAACCTATGTTTAAATTAAGAATAATTTGTGAATATATCAGATAACATGCATGCTACATGTTAGTTTGCTAGAGAAACGTCTTTGTTAGTTATGAACTGTGTCACGTACGTGAAAAATCGGGGTAACCGCTATCCATAGCGTTGATGTAATTCGTCAAAACTACAAAACTTTCAGTTGTAAAACACGCTGCCACCAGTGCCGAATTTCCACGGAAATTGTATATCGTAATATTACCCTGTGGATGGGGTTTGGTTTGTCTGGACCTCTTCAAATATCCAACGGAAAAAAATACTGCAATCGTCTTAGATTCCAACGATCACAACCGTCGATATTTATTTATGAAAAAACTTAGTAAAAAATTAAAGGACATAAAGAGCTTACCGAAGCTTAAGAGTTTCTGCCAATTTCTCCATCATTTCTAAAAGTTTGTCACCTGGTGATCTGGTTCCGTGTCGAAACAGGGCATTCACATGTACAAGCCGATCAGGATATTTTGGGAGATCTCGAAATGCCACTAGACCGTTGTTCGCGTAGGCCGTTTTAGTCCCCATAGCAGTGAGACTGTAACACTCTCTCAGACTGCTATCATAATATTTCCAGCTACGCCACCAGCATAAGAAGAAAGCAAGGAGCTTCAGGAAGAACTTTCGCATATCGAGGTCTAGAGGAGATAAATAAAAATTTCTTAAAGGCGGGGGTAAGTTAAATGCCTTGGGTGAACAAAAAAACGCTAAACCATGACTGCATTAAAAACAAAACTCTTAACAAAACGGAAGTAATTCCAAAAAATCGTCTGAACGCCTCTTCCGAAACGTAAAAAAAAACAACGACGGACATTGCGGCATATAACGACACATTTTGTTGAAGAGTCAGAGATAAAGCAGGTGGACGTCAAAATTAACGTAATTAAACTTATAAATATGCTAGAAGTAGTGACTTGGATTTTTATGAAACGACTGAAATGCAAGGGATAGACATATTTTCCACAGTTATAAAAACAAATCTCGCCACTTCAATAATGAAGATCGTTTTTTTCGCAAGCAGGGTGCGGAGGTAGCGTGCGCGACATTGAATTCATTCCCCTACAATAGCATGTTAACGTGAAGACGACTGAAGATAGATGTTATTCTCAGTCTCTATCATGAAAATACAGATGAGATAGTGATCTGTTTTGTCAAAAAGGCTGCTTCGACCCAGAATTTTTCAAAGTGCCGAGAAATTGGTTGACTAATGAGCGTCTGTCAACCCACCATGCTCGGATGAAAGCATGACAAATAACAACAAGAGTCTTAATTGAAAGCTAAAGCAATGGTGCATAAAAACTCTGGTAACTTTTCTATAGTCAGCATGAGTTGACAGCTACCAGTTTTTATTAGACGCTTTTTATTGAGGCACAGAAATTACGCAAAGCAATGTAGCGGATAGATCCTTCTACTGAAAAACTAGAGACTTTTGAATGAAGGCGCCTCAAGGAATCGCTCCGTAAATCAGACACTATTGACGACAAAAATATAAAAACAGGAGGATTTTGTGGTAAAATGCGGTACTATGAGGCAATAGCTCACGTGCAGATTTTGTAGCAAGGCACAAGAAGCCTGCTTTGCTGCCACGCAATAAAAAGTCAACCTTTAGTCACGCTTTCAAAAAAAGCGCTTTTTTCCAACCAGGAGTCGTTTGTAGAATAGGGCTGCTAACTTGGCCAATGGGTAAACTACTGGTACACTTAAAGTCTCAAAATTAATCGGTCGTGACTGTACGGCAGTTTATCTGACCATAAAAAGTGTCCATTGTCAGTTGTTCATTTTATTTGATGGGATAGTAGGCAGTACAGGTGCATGGATATGTCAAAAAGATAAACCTCTCAGGCGTCATTCTTTGGGTTCATCGGGCACCATAACTTGAAAGCATCTTGCTAGAAAGGTGCCCTTTTCCACGACTACTCTGTTAAGATACGCTTAATAGATAGATAGCCTGCGCAAGCAGCCGCACGCACAGCAAGCCATCGGTCCGCCACAGGGAGCAAACACAACTGGCAGTTACATCAATCAATAATTCAAAATGTAAGCTGAATTTCAGTTGCCGAGTCCAAGCCAATCACGCCGGTAGCCAAAAGCTCATTGGCTCGCTGGACCTAGCTCACAGTCGTTTGTTGCCCCAATATTTTTTGTACCTTTTGAAACTCAAGGAGTTGCTATGACTTGCTGTTACGTGCTTGTCTGAGTAAACTCTCTATCTGGCCAATCGGTCTTCTTTCTGTCTCTCTACCGGGCTCTTGCGTTCGGCGTTAAGCTTAATTAGCAGTACCAGACGCTGATAATAACACATCTCTAAAAGAAATTCCTAGCAACAGCAGAGAAAATCTACAGTTGAACATAATTTGATACTTCGGTCGGCTGAAACGGCAGCCCCTTGTTTACACTGGTCCATGAGGGCAGCCCCATAAGGGCAAATGGTGCTGACAACTTGACAGTAAAAAATCACAAGGGATGTTTCTATATCTTACTTTGAGATGGATGGTACGACAGTGCATCACACAGCAGCAGAGAAGCTACGTCTACGACACATTTGCGGTGACAGGGCATTATTTGAGTCTCCTTACTGCCCTGCCGGCGAAGGTGGCCTCTCGCTGCGCAAACATTTTTTGGGCAGACAGGGAATGGATTAAAATCCCCCTCAAGGAGAGGACGATGGGAATTTCAAATCGTCCCCCATCCGCCCGAATCAGCTGATTTATTAATAAATAACAAATATCCTTGTCCTTCGAAAAAAATATCGGAAAATTTGTGCTGTAACTAAAGGTAATTAATCTAAACTCTTCATTTCTGGATTCCACGAATTTCCCGTATTTCTCCGGAATCCCTCGTCGCCTGTGCTGGCAGGGGGCGGGGTTCAGTTTGCCTGATTTCGATAAAATAACTAATTTGTAAATAGTCTCATTATTTTTTATCGGTCAAGAAGAAAATGAGAAACATAAAATACAAGAATCAAATAAACTATTTGACGGTACATATGTGAAAAAGCAGTCGAAGTCTATGTCAAATATACAAAAAACTAGAGTCGCTTACGTGTAATTAACCCGCGGAAAATATGAAACTTGACGAGGAGGAGGTCGATGCGATCTGTAGAGGTCCGCCCGAGGAATCGAAGTAGAGGGGAGTGACTTGTACTAATTTATCACTCCTATTTATGCATTCGTCTTTCCGGGTTCGTTAAGTTCAGCCAATTTGATAGAAGACTAGCAAGTAAAACAACTAACAGTTTACAAATATTTCTGGTATATTCTATTTACTTTGTGTTTTTTTGTTCAATTTATTTATAAGGCCAACTATTATCGTTTCCTGTCGTTTATACATATGCGTGAAACAATTGTTTTACCAGAATTTTCGGCACAGAGCTTACGCTTCTAGGCGCCTTCTAGATACTGCCCCAACCGGGTGCACCAAAAAAAGAAGCCAAGGAACGCAAGTGAACAACCGGTTAATAAGATAGATACAGTGATTAGAGTGTTGGAGGTGAAAACAGCAGTAATGTTACGTAGTTGGAAGACTTGGTAAGTCGGAGTCCTTCAGTAGCCTCTTTGGGGGCAATCCTCAAAGGTGAAACTGGTCTGAGGAATATATAAACGTTAGCAGTTTCGCATCCAGTCAGTAGAAACGTTATTTAATCCGTTGCTTCCCTAAACACTTCCTCGACAGACAGTATCAAGGGGCAGGGAATAAAGCACCTCAACGACCTTTTTTACGAAAAATAGCACTACTCCTCGATGGTTTGTTTTCCAGAGGATGCGGAAAATGAACTATCAAGAAGACGCCCTTACCAAGCTTTGTCAATTACCTTCTCAGCGTCGAGAATTTGGGTATTATTCCCAAACAACTTGGTCTTACAGAGACAGAAACTATATTTAAAAAAACTCATTACAAAATGTGGAGCATAAACTTCAACTTTTAACTAAGAATAAAAATGCAAAAAGACCACACAACAAATCTAAGTGCTTTCCTTGCAAAAAATCTTACGATGGAATCTGAAAAGATAGGTATGCATATACTATTTCTGTGGGTTAGCAAAATCGAAGCCGGCCTGTACTCACTGTTTCACGTTAATTCTTGCCTTAACCCCCAGGAATTAACGATCTCCCTCCGATCGAGGTTATGTCCGTCGGCATTCCTCCATATGAATTTTCCATTCTTTTGTTCGGTCCCAGTTAGAGTATGCCGTCCAGGCCTGGCGTCCGTGGTTCAAGAAGGATTGCG